CAAGTGCCCTTAGTTCGAGGCCCACTATGCTTATTGTCACAGCGTTGTTTAAGATTTACCTTCCCTGGGGTCCTCTCGAAGGAGGGGCAGAATCATTTACATTAGGGTTTTGGGAGCCTATGGTCAAACATCTCTGTGATTTAGAATTCTAGCAGGCTTGGATGGAATTCAGAAGTAGACATTCGACCAAGGAAATCACAAATACTGTCCGTAATTATGCCTGATTGAAGCCGAAGATTAAGCAAAGACCTTGCTTGGTAAACTTGCCAGTCTGGAGGCCTCAGGACAAAAGTGGAGCCCTGAGGGGTGTTGGCTCCAGGGCGATCCACTGTCTGGGATCTGGGTTTCTATTTTCAGGTCGATGCGCTTTATTCTTCAATCTAGCGTTCCAGAAAGCGCACAATCATGTTCCCGCCAGCAACTGTTTCTTTTCCACCCTTCCTAAGTGGGATAGTAACTGTCTGTTTACGAACGCAGTGGTGAACCAGCTGTTTACCGCAAGCCGCAGTGCTGCTTCCAGATGGGTAAGCAGCCAGAGAACGGCCAGCTGGATGTGGACGCCGAAGGAGTCGGAACTCCCCACCGGACCCTAATGGGTTAAATCTCGATCGGGGCCACGCCCCGTTCCCTCCAAGACAAAAGCACTGCCCAGCGCCGAGGCCCCGCCTTGTGCCGGCCGATTGGCCACGCCCGGCTCCGTAACGTCACGCCTCAGGCCACGCCCACCCGCGGTACCGCGCTTGACACTTTTTGAGTCTGGGGATTGTTGCGTCTGATAACCGCACTCAAAAAGGTAAATTCTTACTGTCTTTGAGGTTCCCCGCTGATACCTTCAAAAATGACGGCTTCTTCCGCGCCGCGCACTGCACCTCTCCGCCTCCCCGAGAGCCCCTTTGATTCTTGGAGCTTCCTTGGGATCCTTTTGATGGCTCTAGTGCTCCTGTTACCCACATCCTCCGGTAGGGGCCTGGAGCGGGTGTGCGCTCCGAGGACGAGCTGGAATGGGCTGTGGAACAGGCCGACTGGAACCAGGGCGGGGAGGGAGCTTGGCTTGGTGGGTCGGGTCGGAGGCGTAGGGTTGGTCCGACCCGGGTGTTAGGGAGTTGGGGTGAAGGCCTAGCCAGAGATTTCCCGGACTGTGCTGTGCGCGGATCTGCGGGAGTGGGGACCACGTAGTGGGCGCGGCGGACGTTGTTCGGTGGTGGGCGTAACCGGTATTTGCCCCGGGCCAAGGTGTGTCCTTTGAAATTCGAGTTTGCAGGTGTTTGGGGATTGAGCCAAAGGGGCTAGGGAGCGCGGACCGAACGTTCAAGGTGAGGGCTCGTCCACGAGTGCACTGGAATGTTAGGTCCCTTCTGTGCCCCTGAGGATATTTGCGCTGTATTCGGTGGACGGGTGATGCCTTGGTGAGTGGCCGGGTTGGGCTGTGTAACACGGTCCGTGTTACTGGGTGCTTGCTTTAGAGAGTGGCGAGACCATCGATATGCAGTGTGGGCAAGGACCCTTTGCTTGCTTTTTATGGCATCTGGGGAGTCTTGTGCGTGGAGCCCTTGAGTGAGAGCAGGTTCTGGGTGCCTGGGGTTCAGAGGGAATGACGCACGGTGCTTTTTGTATATAAAGGTAATAGGCTCCTCGTGGCCCCCAAATCGTAATGGTTTGCTGTCCAGGTGTGCAGGCTGTTTTGGTTTGGTTTAGCTTGGTTTCCTGCCCCGCCCCCCACGCCCATAAATCAATATAGGCAGTATCCTATTGTATTCCCTAATGTCTTTTGGACGTTATTTTTCTTTTTTCTTTCTTTTCTTTTCTTTCTTTCTTTCTTTTTCTTAATTAGGTTGGGTCCTGTTTGAGAGGAAATGCAAAACAACCTAGAAAAACCTACTAAGAAATGAGACTCTTAAGAAATGATCAATAAATAAAGTTAACAGAGTTTTCTCCTAACAGCTCATAAACTAAAGCAGAAGGCCATCCACTAAGTTTGATTCGTGTTTTATTGAAAATAATGAGTATTAAAATATATGTATGCTAAGAAAACATGCTTATTTTATAAAACATACACAATCAAAGGACAGCCATTCTTAAAGTCTAGTGTATTTCCTTTTATCTTTATATGCATGTGGGATTCTATGCCCAACTTATTTTTAGGCTCTCATTACATGTAGAAGTTTATATGCTGCATTCTTTTCTTAGCAGCAGCCTCGCATGTGCCAGGTCCTGTGCTGGTCTTGAGGATACACTGGTGAGCCATAATAAGCCCTTTCTATTTTCATGATCCTTATTTCTCTATTTGTCTGTTTGCAAGCATGCACACACACAAAGGTTAACAGGGACTGCGTTTTGCTCACTGTTAGATCCCCAGTTTCAGGCACACAGTAGGCAATCAGTAAATATTTGCTAAAATTTATTGGTAGTGGTGGATGGTAACCATACCATAATACTAACATGTTATAGCCCAAGAGATGTGATTTGGAGGGAAGGAGCATGATTCTCTGACAGCATTTAACAAATGACTGGTGGAAGGAAGGACTTTTCTGCTCATCAGACAGGCCAAACTGCCACTCTGCGGCTTCTGTATGTTTCTTCCTTCAGTCTAGAAGCATTCTCCTCCTGCCTCTTGCATTGTGGATTCCTTATTTTTCAAACTCAGCTGCAATCTTACACTCTCAGGGACTTCTCTAGGCAAACTACATCAGTGAGAAACACCCACTCCAGCTTAAAAACCCCTTAACTTATCACTCTTCCAAAACTCTTCTGTTCTTTCTCCACTAGAATACAGAGGTCCTGTCTATCTTGTCACAGTTGTGGTTGCCAATGCCCAATTTTTTGCCTTGGTCTCAACATATTTTTATAGCTATTAAGTACCAGGAAATTAAGTATAATGTCAGCTGGGACTTGGAGCCCAGGAAAAATTCCTTCTGTCTTTCCCTGTTAATGAAAAGTCTGCAGGCCTGTAGACACTCCAGTTATGTTGTAATTGATGATTAAAAAGTTCATTTCTATGGGGGGAAGGAAGGCAACCATGGTGGTAAGAAGGAAATGAGAGGAATTTTTAAAAGAAGAATTAACTTTAGAATAGACCTAAAGCTAGAAGCTGAAGGAGCTGTTGAGAGCTTTTGCAATAGAGGATAGATAAAGTGAATAGGGTCCAACAGGGAAGGTGGCAAAACTAGAAATGAAGAGGAGGAAAAACAAGGTTAAGTTGAAGATTAAAAGATAAATCGGGATAAACTAAAACTTAGAGAAAGTAAAAAAATGAGAACTCAATATGCTGGGAAGGGAACATATGTGGATAAAATAAACATTTTACCTTCGAAGCAGCTCAGGCGGAGAAGGTTCTGTAAGCAGACAATGTTGTGCCTGGGAGGCTTGCCATCTCAGAGGTAGTGGCCAAATGGTTTAAAGTAGCAGCAGAGAACATTTGTCAAATTTTAGAGACCAATCTCATTTCTCCAGGAGAAGTTTGCTTTTTTGGACAAAACCCAAATCTCCTGTTATGTGTGGTGTCTTCTGCCTATTGTCTTTTCTTTCTTTCTGATTAAAGCAGATAAGGTCAACACGTGCTTACATAGTAGTTTTCTAAGTCTGCATATTACAATGCAAAGACAGCAGTCCTTATCCTGTCAATTGCTAGGTTGCCGGACACTGGGAGATAGGCAACAAAAGACATTACATGGCCCCGAATTTCTCCAGTGCATAAATCTTCAAAATGATGATTTTAAATATTCATTATAGTATATCCTTCACCATTGTTTTCTGTTTGACAGCAGTGGTACATTGAGCACCAAAGTTTCTTGAATAGCGACTATGAGGGACACACTGTGCTAGGTGATTATGAAGTTTAAGTTAGTAAAAAGCACTTAAAACAATGGTTGGCACAGGTAGTGCTTAATATTTACAATTTTAAAGTTATAAAGGAACGTGGGGAAACATGGTAGAGTAAGAGATGTCCCCATATCTCTCCCCTTGAAACAACAAGGATGGGCTAAAGAGATTCAAATGTAGGGGAATAGGGGGAGGGTGAAGTAGGTAAAAGGGATCAAATATATGGTAACTGAAGGAAACTGGACTTTGGGTGGTAAACACATAATAGAATATACAGAAGTCAAATGATAATATACACCTGAAAGTTATATAATTTTATTAATCAATGTTACCCCAATAAACTTAATTTCAAAAAAAGAAAAAAATAAAATAAAGTTATAAATACCATCAGTATTATTGAAGAAGGAAGTACTAGAATCTTTCATTACCATACTTTAGCAAAAAAGGTGTTTGGCGATGGACCGGTAGTAATAAAGAAGCTGCCTCTCATAGCCCCCGAGCTCCCTGCAGGAGGAGTGGGAGGGGTGAAGTTACGGGAACTTCCCTGAACAGCCCAGCCTGGGTCTGCTATGAGCTGCCACGCTGGGTGGAAAGGCCCAGACATCAGGTCAGAGGACAGAGAAGCAGAGGAGACTGCAGAGAAGCAGCTGATTTTTATCGACCCTGGGTGCAAAACAGCTGTGCTGCAGCCGCCATACTCCAACTCAGATGGCACCTCCCCCCATACCCCGGAGTCTGATTACCGCGGAACCCCATGGGAATCTGAGCAAACCCTACCAAGACTGTCGACAGGATCTGAAACTGAGGGTAGCAAGCATGATAATATTAAAATATTATTTCTAATCATAGCAGTAAAGGAGAATGGGTTCATAATAAACTAATAAATATTTTAATGTGAAAGAAATTAAAAACTGATAAGGGAAATGTCTATAAGTAAATGAAAAAAATGAATGACTACAAGCATGAAAATAGTAACAAAAAGAATTATGATTTGGACATATCTTAAGAACAAGTCGACTGAACAGTAAAGAATTTTGATCTAAGAGTATATAGAACGGGTACTGGTGCTCATTCAGCTCTGACATTAGGTACTAGAAATGTAGTGATGAATGAGACATGGCACTTAAGAAGATGACAGTCCGGGGAGTATAAATGGCGCCTTTTTTGCAACAGGCTAAAGAGATACCTTTATATATAATATATCTTCTTTCCAGAAAAACAACACAATACACTTCCATTAATGCCCAGGATGAGACATGGCACTTAAGAAGATGACAGTCCGGGGAGTATAAATAATAAACAGTTATGATATTAAACGTGCTATAGTGAAGAAAGTTAGGGCAACATGAGGACACTTAACTCAATATTTTGAGTTCGAGCTGTCAAGAGCTGCAAGGAAGTGTCACCTAAAATGAAGCTGAAGGATAAGTGGGTGGGAAGAATGGTAGGTTGTCTGGTCAAAGCAGAAGTAAAATGTTGTATGGAGGCCTAGCGTGCTAAAGTAATTTTAGTAATTTAATGGACACTACAAGGAATTGAGAATAGTGTGCAAGAGTGAGCAGGGTCCTGATAGTCACAGATTTTAAACGTTTGTGAGCCTTGTTAAGGAGCCTTAGACATTACCTTGAGGGCATTGGGTGGCCATCGAAAAGCATTTGACTAGGGAGAGCATTAGTCACTGTATCATAGCAATATCTTTATGGTAGCAGTTTGAGAAATGAATGGTAGTGACATAAGCTTCATGGAAGAGTGAAGAGACTCCTTGTTTCTCCCGTTAAATTTATAATAAGTTGGACGAACAACTGTAACTCAACAAAAGATCCCCTGCTCAAAACACCAACATGTCTGAAAGATCCACACAGTGGGACATCTAAAGTGGGAGTACTGGAAGAAGTAGGGGAGGCAGGCTGGGGAGAAGGATGGACAGTGGCCGCTGATGCTGTTTGACCCGCCGCATGGCTCCAGCGAAAGCAG